GAAGCCTCCTTCATTACACAAGGTTTTCAATTCATTAACCAAATTCTTGGCTTCTTCTATGGTTTCTACGGATTTCAATACGTCATCCATATAGAAATCCCGTTTTACCGTTTCTACAGCCTTTATGCTAACTTCACACTTGTTGTCTGTTGCGGTTTTCTGCAACCCATAATTGGTACACGATGGCGAAGACCCAGCACCGAACAGGTGTACTGTCATTCTGAATATCTTGGGTTGATGACTGAAGTCCCCTTTGGTCCACCACAAAAACCTCAGCAAGTCCCTCTGTTCTGCTGGCACCTTTACTTGATAGAACATAGTCTCGATGTCTCCTGAGACTGCCACTGAATATTGACGGAAGCGCATTAAAACCCCCTGTAGGTTGTTCATAAGATTAGGACCCGGTAGCAGTACGTCATTCAGAGAAATTCCCATAAACTTTGCCGCACAGTCAAATACCACCCTAATTTTCCTTTTCTGAGGGTGATACACCCCATGGTGAGGAATATACCACGATTGGCCCCCCCCCTTTGTATTGTCGCCATTAGATACTTCTTCCGCGTAGCCCTTACCAATTATATCTTCCATAAAGGCGATGTAGTCTTCTTTGAACTGTGGATTCTTCTTCATCTTCTTCTGTAGTCCCCGTAGTCGATTACTCGCCATTTGCAAGTTGTCCGGAAGCTGGACTGCTGGATTCCTTAATGGCAAGTCTACTTGATAATGACCTTCGACAATCCTACAGGAATTTTCCATATTTCTCATAAATTCCCTGTCTTCAGTCGACCACTACCTCTTGTCGTCTATACATCTCTCAGGAAAGTCATAATTTAGACTTTCAATGTAAATCTTCTCCAAGTTGGTACAATGACTTGCACTTAGAACTCCAGGTTTCATAACTCCCCACGCTACCCATCCTAAAGTCTTGGTTGCATAGGGACTGCATTGCGGTCCAGTCCTCACTTCTCTTGGGGCATATGCTGCTGGTACATTGTTTCCAATCAGGATATCAATGCTGGCATCTATCTTCGGCAGCTCAATTCCTCTGAAGTGTTTCCAGCTTTCCACGTCTTCTCTTGATGGGATTTGCCAATTTTGCACTGGTAGACTGGGCTTAGTGTAAACAATTGGGAGTTCTACTTCCATATTTTCCTCACCATGAAGTGCTGACACTATTAATCCCTCAATCGACTTGGGGTTCATTTCTACCTGGTTACCCATGGTGTTTAACTTCAGCTTGATCGGATTCCCAGATGCTTGCAGTAAGTCAGCCAATTCCTCAGTGCAGAACGACACATTACTGCCAGAATCCAAAAAAAAACACGTTGCACTGCACTGTGTTAAAACCCCATTTAACTTGGACTGGTACAATTGGTAAGGTGCATCCGCCAACTGTAAGTGCATTCGATGAAACTGTTTCTGCAATGGCTGTATTACTCTTTGATTTCGGACTTGTGGTGGATGTTTCTGCTTTGCCACTAAAATCATGAATCATTGAGTGGTGCCTCCTCTTACACACCTGACATCTCACGGTGTGTTTGCATCTAAAAGACATGTGCCCTGGGCGCAAACAGTTGAAACAAATTCTCTTGCTACTCAAGAGTTGTCTTCTTTCATTTAGACTTGCATCCTTCAGCTTCTTGCAGTCTTCTATCTGATGAGTACCACCACAAAACATACATCCCCTATCAATTTCGTTTGTGTTAGACACTGCGGCTGACATCTTTGGGCCTGGATATCTTTGGTCTTTCTTCTTTCCACTACTTATTATATCCTTTCCCCAGACAGGATCATTCACTTTCTCTGCCTCTAATGCTATAAAGTCTACTAGATTTGAGAACTTTACAGTTTTTCTTTGCCGCTTCAAATCGAAAACGATTTTCCTCCACCGGTCATGCATGAAGTTGGGATGCTTCTGTAATATTTTCTTTAAATTTGCCATGGCGTCTACGTCACCGTATTTCCTTTTCAATTCTTCTATCGCCGCAGGGTAGCCCACATCAGCGTCTAAAAAGGAGTACCCAACAACTATTTTATTGGCTTCTCCGATCGTATACTGTTCTAGATATGCCATTTTTTCGTCGTTGGAACAGATCCCTTCGATTTTGAATTTAAATTGCCTCATGAATCTATTGAACAGTAGACGGTTCCCTTCGAATTTCCTTATTTCTAACTTTGGCTTTCGCAGTTCCATCAGCACCTCTCCAAGTTGCTTTGAGGATGCAGTGGGGAACGTAGTTTGTTTAACATTGCCAGGTGATTCTTCCTCTCTGGAATGTCGAATGCTTATGGCGCTTAGAGTGTCTACCTCTTCTCCATCTAAATTTTGGCTATTATTTTCTTCTTCCTCGATCTCCTCCAGGAGCTGTTCCCGGGCTTCTGCTTTAGCCATTTCATTTGCTATGGCACTTCTTTCCTTTTCCTGTTGAAGTTCAATTTCCAACAGTTTCAGTTTCTTCTCACTTTCCTGCTGAACTCGGAGAAGTTCACTCTGCTTCTTCAGCTCTGACAGTCGTTTGGCCTCCGCAATTCTTCTTGCTAAGGATCCTTGACTAGCACGAGAAGACTTCGATGCTCGTGACATAGTTGTAGTCTGGACCTCTGTTCTAGTCAGAAACCATTGTTCGGCCTCTGATTTTCTCTTTTCTATAAACAATGTCTTTTTGTACCATTTCTCAATGTGCTCTTCCAAGGCTTCTGCACTGAGTGTACCACAGTACACATCATTGGCCTGTAGAAAACCTTCGTACAAATTCATCCATATTGTATGCCGTGTTTGGGTTTCTTAAACAGGCGGGTTTTCCTTCATAAACATTCTCAAGTCATCTGATTCCTTGCGGAGGTTCCTCCATGCTATTCCAAGTTCTTTGAATTTTGCTTCTTGTTGCAACTCTGCACCCTTTTCAGTGGGTCGTCTTTCTCTTGTGGCCATCTTAGTGGGCAGAACTTTCCTCAAATCTTGTATGTTAATGATGTGGTTGTTGAGTCAATAAATCAAACAAACAAGAATGCAGCAGAGATTTTGGAGTTCTGTTTAATGCGTCTTAAAAACTTCGGAACTGATGACAGAATATCAACATATACTCTTATCCTTAGTTCAAGTTTAAGCGCAACCACACATCTGTGACAGTTTACACTGATACAAGTGACGATTGACTGTAAATCAATCAAAATTAATCTCATCTAATAAGGTATATCAGATATAACATACGGTAATAAATAGTGAACATTAACATAATGACGCTCCATGCAAAGTACAGCCTGTACTGTATATGTTCTAAATAACAAAGAACTTGATAATTATTAAAGGATGGTTGACTACATTATATTATTAATTTTACCAACTTTCAATCTAGAAAATGAAGTTTATTTACCGTACATTTGATCCCTAATCATATGATATATGTGTAATCATCCTCCGTATTCTGTACAGAAATTAAAAATATTGTAAAAAAACCCCCCAATAAATAACCAATAATAATCATGTTCACTGTTATTGTTATTATTTAAATGCACTTACCTCGTGCTTTTCATTATTTATGCGCTTTTTTGGTCTCTTTTTTACACAGCTGATGTTATCCTCGCTGTCATCAGATATAATACACCTATGTGTGCAATCATCCTTTGTATTCTGTACACAAATTAAAAATATTGTATAAACACCAAATAATAATCAGTAATAATCATGATCACTGATATTGTTTAAATACACATACATCATGTTCTTAATAGTTTTATGTGCTTTTTTGGTCTCTTTTTTAAATGGCTGATGTTATCCTCGCTCTCATCAGATATGATATATATGTGTAATCATCCTCCGTATTTTGTACAAAAATCTATAATTGTGTAAAAACACCCAATAAACAACCAATCATAATGATGATTGTTATTTTTATTATTTAAATGCACATACCTCCTGTGTTTAATTTTTTTATGTGCTTTTTTGGTCATATAATGCTAATAATATTCTTGCTGTCTTGAGATTTAATCATTCTCTGTAATCTGTACAAAAATTCAAAATATCGTAAAAACACCTAATTAATAATCATGATGACTGTTATTGTTTAAATAAATACTGGTTTGAATGCACATACCTGAGTTTTTTTTGGTTTTTTATGTCCTTTTTTGATCTTTTTTTGACACGGCTAATGGTCTCGCTCTTATCAGATAAAATGTATGTGTAATCATCCTTCGTATCCTGTGACAAAAATTCAAAATATTGTAATAGCTGTCTCTTATACACATCTTATTTTCTTTAAATTTGCCATGGCGTCTACGTCACCGTATTTCCTTTTCAATTCTTCTATCGCCGCAGGGTAGCCCACATCAGCGTCTAAAAAGGAGTACCCAACAACTATTTTATTGGCTTCTCCGATCGTATACTGTTCTAGATATGCCATTTTTTCGTCGTTGGAACAGATCCCTTCGATTTTGAATTTAAATTGCCTCATGAATTCAATGAGTCCTTCCATTTTCCTTAGCACAAGCAATGATTATTGTGTAATTTTCCTATTACCTTTATCGTTCATTCTGATGGGCCGATAACAAACATTTGATGTAAGAAGCATATAGTGGTCGCCAGTGTACGCAAGGAAGACATCTGAGATCCCAGATCATACCTCACCGAAGGGTTTTGCAACTGTGATTCTCTAATTAGTAAATGCAAAACTAGATTAATGTGTTATTTAATTTACTTATTTAAACAAACTGTATAAAGGGGAAGGGTACCATGTTCACCCAAATAGATTAGGTCAGTGTCACTCTGGCCTTCAGTAATAAGATCATTAGAACATAATGAGAAGAAGTTTGTAGCTATTTTGCTATTAAAATGTTGTAAAACATGTCGAAATGTCTCATAAGCCACAATTATTTATGATGCGTGTATTCTGGATTTTATTCAAAAGTGAGTCTCAGAGTGCTGCCTTTTAATTTTGATTCAAAATACTGTATTTGGTTCTCAAACCAAAACATAACATACATACCCCTCTCCAATCGATGATGTTACAATTGAAAGAGAAGATTGTCGCATCTGCCCGTATGACAACATGACTGGCAATCTGATCTTGAAGAGCTATGACACACTGCTCCCATGTAGCTGGCATTTCTGTGAGATTGGGAAAATCAGCATTGGACAAGAACTCAAACAGGTTTTGTTGCTGCAGAACACCATCCTATATTAAACCAGATGAATTGAGTTTCGTTTAAATTGCAAATTGAATCACTGATTTTTAGCAATGTAAAAGAATGACATATTACATCTCAAATAAATTGAAAATCTTTTAAGGGAAATATGATGGTATTTATTAAAAAATTCCTGAGTAAAATATGAATGATGCAAATGAGCAATTAGCATATTCACACATCATCTTCTTACTACCATATTGCATTGTCAAGTTTGAAACCTTCACTTACCTAACTTTATTAATTGTGGTAAGAAACAATTTACCAGACGACAACATGAAAAACACAGGTAAAAACAATAGCCTCCCCGGGGCTTCGCTTCTTCAGGGAGGCAAATAAAATAACATTTTTTTTATTGCAACCTTCACATTTTTCTGTTATGTTTAAAATACCTGTTGCCATCTTAATTATACTAGATGCTACTGTAACCTGTTAAATATATGTTTTATAAATTATATATTGATGTATATGTAGGCCACAGACCTATATGATAAATATACATGCTTTTTAAACTCATTCCAAAAATAAAAGTCAGTTTTGTTTATATATGAAAGTCGTTTTATGTTTATTTTCTT